TGAAGCTTAGTAGAGCCATTTTCACTGTTTGCCAAAACTGGGAAGGAAAAAAAAATTTAAGAGGTCTGAAGGGTCTTTAAGGTGGAATTATAACAGTTTATTATAATCTCACCAGTGTGATCTTGGGGCCATTTGGATTTTCCTGAAAGATAGAATTTGGCATTTTCCAGACCAGAGTTTGCTTTTATGGTCTGGAAGTGGCAAGGCATATATATTTGGAGAACTAAAGATTATTCTCCTCCAAGAAGTTTTGTCAATCTGACCTTCTAGACTCTTATGATGCTGTGCACACAGCAGTAAGCTCTGCAGAAGAGAGCAAATAAAGGGAAGAAATATAGTGGTACGTGTTATTTTTACATCCTCAAGTAAATTCTCCAGCATTAAGGCTGACTGGAAATTTTCATCTCAGAGTTCTCATGAATGCCATTCTACTTCAGTGTTGTCCTCTTGAATCTCATTTTTATTATAGATCATTGAGGGAGATATTTCTTGTAGGAATTTGCTCAGCCAGATAGATAAGTGAGATGAGGTACTGTGGAAATATTGGACCAGAGGAAACCTGTTGAGGTCAGGTAGTCCCACTGTTCAGCCTGCAGGATTACGTACTACAGCCAGTCAAGGTGAAAAACTAACCCACCCATATTTAGAGAATTTGTGTCATCTAGAATGCAGAGAGTATGACCATTCTTGGGTATTTGTTTGAGCCACATGACTTTAGATGGTCTCCTGAGTACCTTCTGTGAGATCCAGCGAATGACAGAAATTTGAAGTTAGAATGTCTTGGCTTATCCCTCTAGCCTCCCATCCCGGGCAGGAATCCCTCTGATGCCACCCTGACAGGTGATCAAACAGACTTCTTGAATCCTTAAAGTGGTGAGAAACCGAGCACTTCAAGAAGCAGCCCAGGCCATTAAGAAGCACGTTTACCCGTTTACCGAGGATGCTGTTCTTTGTTCTGACAGGTTGCCGTGGTCCGGCAACTTTCCCCCATTCGTCCCAAATCTGATGTATGTGGGTTTTTTGTTTTAAATCACAAGAGAAAAAAAAATAAATCTATGATATTCAATAATAAGGCATGGGGAATTTTTTCCACAATAGGTTTACACCATTCTTCTGGTCTTATGATTTAAATGTCCAGATAAGTTGTTTCCTATTGCAGAAGAAAATAGACTTTTAATGTCTATTTTTTTTCCTCCTTGTTGTTGTTATGTACCATTGAGTCATCTGTAACTCATAGTCACCCTATGTAATAGCTCTGAACGCTGCCTTATCCTGAGCCAGTGTTACCATCTCTGACCCACCTATTCTTATTATCCAAGTTACTGTGTCAGTCCTTCTCATTGGGGTTCTTCTTCTCCTGCACTGGGCCTCCACCCTTACAAAGCATGATGCCTTCTCCAGTTACTGGTCCCTCCTGGCCATGTGACCAAAGTAAATCAGATTGAGCTTAAAATTCCTTGCCTCCAAGGGGCAGCTTAGTTTCCCCCTCTCCATGACAAGCCTGTTTGTTCACTTGATGATCCATGGTGGTATGTTCAAGACTCTTCTCCTGCACCACAACTCCAGTATCAATTCTTCTACTATGATTCTTAGTCATTCTCCCAATTCTCTTGTGCACAGCACGTAATGGCAAAGAGTATGGCCTGTATCAGGCATACCTTAGTCTCTAGGCTGACATTGCTCTTTAGCAGTTTGGAGCAGTCCCTGACAACAGATTTCACTAATGCAATTTGTCTTTACTTCCTGACTACTAGTGCCAAGAGTGTTGATTGTGGATTCCAAGTTAACGGCAATTGTTAACAACTTCAATCTCTTCTCTATCTATCATGGAACTGCCAGTTGGCCAAGTGGTAAGAATCTTGCTTAATGTTGAGCATTTTCTCCCTTAGTATATGTTAATATTGTATGTTAATATGAAAGATCCAATACTTAAATTGACTAGGAGTTTATCATTCTTTCAGAATGCATACTATGTTAATGGGTATTAAATTCTGGTTGATAGCTGGCTCAAGGATTGACTTATAAAACAAAGAACTATGAATAAAATTAATTTTTAAATAAACAGAACCTTTTTTCTTGACATATGTCAGTTGATTACCTGTATCACACTTTATTTATAATAAGACTTTCCCTTTGCTGTTGCCTTCAGAAATACCTGCTTATCTCAGTGTCCAATCCAAACCTTTCTTCTTTTTTTCTTATAACATATATTCTCTGACCAGCTATCACTTGGTACAGTTATTTGGTAGAATGTGACAGAATGTAAAACTCTTTGGTGTCTCAGCCCAGTCATGAAGCACTTTGAGTGTTACCTGAGAAAATGTGTGTAATTCCTTTAAATGCCCATTTTCTCATCTAGTATTCATCAATATACTATTCTGAGTTGGAGACATGGTCTGTGTGAACCTCAAGGAACATAGCAGGGACTCAGGAGATAGAAATTATTATTATTTTGCTTTAGTCTACTGGAGTTCTTACTAAGTCTGCTGTTGATCTTTCTCTATAGGGTATTAGAGTCTTATCTCTAGATGCTGCAAACTTGTGACCTTTGATTTTGAAATCTTACATGTGTTATCATACTCTCCCAGTTTCCTGGCTAAATAAGGTGGCCTTGTTAGCACGCAGTAAGTGAGCTAACTGGTTTCCCTTGTTCAGTCAAATGAACTCAGCAAGGTGGGAGACACCAGGAAGATTTTTTATTTTTGTGATTTTTAATAGAAGTTTACAGAAAAGCTGGATTTTCATTCATTTGTTGTTGCACATTTTCCTCCTTTCCCTCCACCAGTCCACTTAAAAAAATATATATTCCTTCATTGTTGCATAACTTCCTCCCTGGTACCTTCTGGCCATGTGCCCAAAGTATATCAGATTGATACACTCTTCCAGTCCTCTTTGCTATGTACCTCTTATTTGGACAGTTGCCATATAAATAATGCCCAAGATACCAGGGAGATTGGCATCAAGAAGGCATCAGACAGTGTACAGCAATCCTAGTGCCTATTTTCATGTTTATTTTATATTGATTTGCTTATAAAGTTCTTATACATTGTGTTTCACACTATTATTCATTCACAGGTTTTATATAATCATTCCCATTCATATTTTTTATAAAATTAATCACCATTGGAGTATGCCCACCATTACCCTGTCTTTTTGGGTTCCAGCCAGATCTTTCCCACTTATTTTACCCCCTTCCTCCACCCATCAAATTGTGCAACCCTGTGATTTCACCCCTAACCATCCTCACCCCTCTGCTTCAATCCTTTTCTGCCTTGGACCCATGTCCTTGCTTTACTTAAATAATGGTCTTATGCAGTATTTGTCCTTATGAGACTGAGTTAGCTTACTAAAACTTTCCAGTCTCTCCCAAGTTATGTAGTAGTTTCTCCTGAGTGCTGTATAGTATTCCATTGTGTGAATGTACCACAATTTCTCAATCCATTCAGTTATGGTTGGACATTTGGGGTGTATCCATATTTTTGTGATGGTGAATAATGCTGCTATGAACTTTGGTGTACAAATCTCTGTTAGTGTCTCAGTTCTACTTTCCTTGGGGTATATTCCTCATAGTGAAATAGCTGTGTCGTACAGAGTTTCTATGTTCAGGTTTTTTTCTATGAAACACTAAACTGCCTTCCAGAGTATTTGTACTATTTTACAGTCCCACCAAAAGTGTGTGAGAGTTCCCACCTCTCTATATCCTCTTCAACATGTATTACTTGCTGCCTTGCTGAACTTCGCCACTGCTACTGGGTTAAGATGGTATCTCACAATGGTTTTGATTTGCATCTCTCTTATTGCCAGTGATGAAGAGCATTTTTTTTTTATTCTGAGTATTTCTTCATGTTTCTTTTGGCCATCCAAGTGTTTTCCTCTGTGAAAATTCTTTCCATGTCTTTTGCCCTCTTTGTAATTTGGGTGATCAGTCTTTTTCTTCTGGAAGCCCAGTAGTAGTCTGTAAACTTTTCTTATGAGACTTTCGTCTGAAATGATTTTGTGAATTTTTTTTTCCTAGCTGGTAGGTCTTCTTTTCACCCTATTGGATTTTTTTTTATGTGCACAGAGATTTAATCCTTAGAAGGTCCCAATCATCAATTTTATCCTCTCTAGATTGTGCATTTCTCACTGTATTTGTCAGCCTCTTTATTCCATAGACTTGGCCTTTGAAGCCTGGTCCCAGTTAGTCTTTTATGTACTTTATGTTTTGGGGTCTTACTCTGAAGTCTCTGATCCCACCTGAGTTGATTTTTGTGTATATTGTGAGATGTGGAATCTGGTTCAGCTTTTTGCAGGTAGCTGTCCAGTTTTGCCAGCATCACTTGTTGAAGAAACTGTCATTTGCCCATTTTGTGAATTTTATTTCCGTATGAAATATCCATTTCTGGGTTCGTGATGTTCCTGTCATTGTACATATTGTACATACTGATTTAGTTATTTCCACTATGTAGTAGGTTTTGAGGTCAGGGAGTGCTGTGCCTCATTTTTGTTTTTCAGGAATGCTTTGCTTATTCAGGGTCTCTTTCCTCTCCAAATTAACTTGAAAATTTCCTTTTGAATCTCCTTGATAAATGAATTTGACCTGTACTAGAAGTTTGATAAGATTGTCATTTTCACTATACTGAATCTTCCTATTCATGAACAAGAAACGTTTTTCTATTTATTTAAGTCTCTTATTGTTTCTTCTTCCTTCCTTCCTTCCTTCCTTCCTTCCTTCCTTCCTTCCTTCCTTCCTTCCTTCCTTTTTTTTAATGCCAGGCCATACTTAGTGTTTTATTTAATAAAACAACCATGCCAGTAACCCTCTAAAAACACATACAGCTCTCTCCCTCCCCTTGTTCCCTCTCCTTGTTCTGCCCGCGTTGCTCTGCAGCCTCCTACCTCACACCAGCTATGTTCTTCTCCCAGCTCCCTGAATCCATGCCTCCTTCTGGATGTTTTAATAACGAACACATGTTAAACGTGACATGAGACACCCACAGCAAAGGAAGTGAGGGCCTTACTCCGTGCAGAGCATGGTGATCTCATGCTCGTAGAAGCTGCATGGGTCTTCCTTGGTGACGATCTCGAAGTCTATGGTGAAGATCAATAGGTCTTTTATTGTTTCTTGCAGAAACATTTTGTAATTTTCTTTGTATAGGTCTTTTGTGTCTCTAGGTTAATTCCCAAGTTCTCAATTTGTGGTTGGATCCACTTCCTAAAGTATGTGCCTCTGGACACCCTATGAACTTAGAGAAACAATGATAGCTATAGAACAGGGTTCAGATCTTTTTTTCATAGGGTCACCATGAGTGATGCTCAACTCGACAGCAGTCAACAACATTGTAAATGGTATTGCTTTCTTGGTTTCCTTTTCTGAGTTATCTTTGTTACTTTAGAGGAATCCCACTGACTTTTGGATATTTATCATGTATCCTGATACCCTACTAAACTGGTTCACTAGCTCTAACATTTTTTGTTGTTGTTGAGTCCTTGGGGTTTTCTGTGTACACTGTCATATCATTTACGTCTGGTGACAGTTTAATCATCTCTTTGCCAATTCGGATGCCTTTTATTTCTTTCTTTTGTTTTATTGCCCTAGCAAGTACTTCCAATACAATATTGAATAGAAGTGGGGACAATGGACATCTTTGTCTAATCTCTGTTCTCAAAGAAAATGCTTTTAGTCATTCTCCATTGAGAATGATGTTGGCTTTTGGTTTTGCATATATACTTTCCACTATGTCAAGGAAATTCCCTTCTATTCCTATTTTGCTAAGTGTTTTAATCAGGAAGGAGTGTTGGATTTTGTCAGATGTCTTGTCTGCATCAATTGCTAGGATCATATGATTCTTGTAATTTGCTTTGTTAATCTGGTAAATTACATTGATTGTTTTTCTTATATTGAACCATCCTTGCATACTTGTTATTAATCCCACTTGGTCATAATGAATTATTTTTTTGGTGTACTTTTGGATTCTATTGGCTAGGATTTTGTTAAGGATTTTTGCAACTATGTTCATGAGAGTCTGTAGTTTTCTTTTCTTTTTTTCCTGTAGTATGTACATTGCCTGGTTTGGGTATAAGGGTTATGCTTGCCTCATAGAATCACTCTGGAATTGTTTCTTCTTTTTCTGTTTTTTAAAATACCTTAAGTAGGATTGATGATAAGTGTTCTCCAAATATTTGGTAGAATTCAGCCATGAAGCCATCTGGTCCAGGACTTTTTTTGTGAGGTAGTCTTTTTATGACCTGCTGAATTTTTTTCTTTTGTGATAGGTTCAAGTGTTCTACATCTGTCCATGTTAATCTTGGAAAGGCCATAAATTTCAAGGAGTATGTTCATTTCCTATAGATTTTCAAATTTATAAGAGTATGTTGTTGTTATGTGCCATCGAGTCACCTATGAGTCATAGCAACCCTATGTACAACAGCCCTAAACCCTGCTTTATCCTGTGCCAATCTTATTGGCTCTGACACATGTACCCAGAAACCCAGTCACTGAATCAATCCATTTCACCGAGGGTCTTCCTCTTTTGTGCTGTCCTTCCACCCATCAAAGCATGACATCCCTCTGCAAGGACTGGTCCTGCCTTGCAACATGTCCAAAATATGTCGGATGAAGCCACCAAGGAGCAGCCAGGTCTCATCCTGTCTAAGGTGAACTTGTTTGTTTTTCTAGCAGTCCATGGTATATTCAATACTTTTCTTCAGCACCACAGCTTATCAATTTTCCTTCTATTATCTCTAGTCTTTATTCAATTTTCTGATGAATATTCCCTTTATTTGTGGCTTCCATTGTTTCTTCCATCATTTGTACTTATTCCTGTGGCTGCTCAAATACTCTAATATCAATATATATTCTTCTGCCATCTTGACTCTGGGATATTCATTGTGTCTTCAGTATTATGTTCTTGGTTTTGGTTTTTTGTTTTATTTTGTTTTAGAGTGTTTAAAAGTGCCTACTACTTTCTTGACATTATGTGAAGTTCTTCTTGATCATTGTTAGGCCATTCTTATTGTGTCTGTGTAAGTTATTAGTAGTTCTTCTCTTTATGATGTTATTGATTAGTTGGCAGCTTAAAATGCTCAATCTGAGCCATTCTCTCTACTGGAAGTCCTTTCTGGGAAAATTTGCTTTTCTTAAAGTTCTTCAGGTTCTTGATGGTCTGCAGTGCAACCCTGCAGAACTCTTCCTTTATTGTAGTCTACTGTTTTCCTTTGTCGATGGAGTGGCTGACTCGTTCAAGACCAGTGCTCTACTTGAGCAGTTTCTGTCTAGGGGAGTTCCAACTTGGCTGTGTTGTAGCTCAGCATGCCAGCTGAGAAAGTCTTCCCTTTGCTTATAGCTCTCTGTTCCAAACTCTCTTGTCCTGTTTGGTACCTGGGATGACTGTGCATGCATGGAGATAAGGATCCTCAAATGGAGGGACCTTTCCTCAGGGAAATTTCAGTCCTTTCTCTCCCCCTCACACACCTGAAAGTGCTGACTTTAGGGAAGAGTGTCTCACATAGAGGTTTCTTCTCTCCTGAAGCCTAATCTTAGTGCCTCCTCATAGAACCATTGCTTGGTGTTACAGGAATTTTAGTGGCTCTTAAAAGAAGTATTTTCTGACTTATTTTAAATAGTTCTAATGTGGGCCATACCCTTGTTACAGCAACCAAAGTATGACCAGAGCCCTGGAAACTCAACAGTCACTAAGATCAAGGATGTCCAACTTGTTGAGAGAAAGCATAAGGAGGTCGAACAAAGTGAAATTTAAGGTAGTTTATTAACAGTAGTACATTCCAGAGGGAGGAATGATCACTACCTGTGTAAATGAAAAGAGTGGAGAAGACAATGAGTTATGAGGAGTTAGATACTTATATAACCTGTTGGGGTGGGTTTCATGCAATAAAGTTTAGTAGTACTTGGACCAATAGGATGCTGTGGCTGGAGGTTCCCAGTATGGTTCATTTTTTGTGATGTCACTGTTGAGATCTTCACCTTCTTGGCTACTAATACTAATGAATAATTCTTAGGGCTCATGTCAGTACTATGAGGTGTCAGAGCCTTTGCTCTGTACATCTCCTGGATAATGACTCTCTTTCTCCCTCTTGCCTATACTTTATCTTATATGGGCTCAGATTGTACTCTAGCAACTTGTTTGGCAAGGATTCAGCAAAAACTTCAAGACAGTCTTTGATTTCAGCCCTATCCTTGACTCTCCTTCCCTGAATATTTGCTCCAATTTTTTAACAGCTAACTCATAACAATTTTATTTCAAGGATATTTCTGTGAAAGTTTCATTTTAACATATTTTTGTTCCTTGATTCCCCAGAACTTCTGTAATCTATCATTATTATTGTGGTGTATTGTTGAATTGGAACTGACTCATAGCTGACCCTCCAGTGGGTTTTCAGGAATAATGCATCATATGGGAGGGGTTTGACCCTCTTTCTCACATGGAACAATTTGTGGATAAGAACCATGTACCTTTGAGTTGGCAGCACAACTCCTTTCCAATAATCAATCCACCAGAACTCCATGTACCTTTGAGTTGGCAGCACAACTCCTTTCCAATAATCAATCCACCAGAACTCCCTAAATCTGCCATTGTTGTTGTTTTGTATTGTAGAGTAGGAACCAACCCATGGCTGACCTTCCAGTCGCTTTTCAGAGGCAGTAATTACAAGGAAGGGGATTGCCCATCCTGCTCTGGCAGAGCACCTGGTGCCTTTTGAAGTTCAACGCAGCTTCTTGCCACAGGCCACCAGAGTGAGGCTTCATTCTAGACAAAATTCCTTTCCATCTCTGGCTTTGTGAGACTATGAAACAGATTATTTTACTCCCCAAATAGAATAATGGGAAATATCTAGGTTGTCATGTGTTAGACATTCATTCAGAAAGAGAGAAAACAAGAAACATGTAATCATGTAATAATAAGAAGACTTTACTTGGAAACTTCTCAGTTGCATCGTCAACTTTTTCACTTATAAGAACTGGGTTTATTTTTGTTTTATTTTGTTTTGTTTTTTCTTTCTATAACTACAGGGTGCACTTCTGCTAAACTTTCTGCCATTATATAATAATCTCCTTTATTCCAGGTTCCAATAACATGCTCCTCATTGATTCTTAACTCTCACTAACAGCATCTTTTAAAAATTTTTTTTTCTTTTGCACTGGTTTACTTATAAAATTCATATACATTGTTTTTCACACATGATTTTCCCCATTTCCTTTACCCACCTCTCCCTCTACCCATCAAGTTGTGTGACCCTGTGATTACCACCCCTCCATCCTCACCCTTCTGTTCCCATCCTCACCCCCTTAGATCTTCATACTCATTTTGCTAGTTATCTATTTCTACAATATTGGTCTCATATAGTATTTGTCTTTATGGGACTGAGTTAGTTCACTCAGCATAATGCTCTCCATTCCCTCACAAGTTAGGTAATAATTTCCACAGTTATTGCTCCTACATGATGCATAGTATTTCATCATGTGACTATACCATAATTTCTCAATCATTCATTTGTGATTGTACATTTTGGCTGTTTCCAGATTCTTGCTATAGTGTGTAATGCTGCTGTGAACATTAGTGTACAAAAGACAAGGAAAACTTTTCACATATTTGGGTGGCCAACAGATACATGAAGAAATACTAAAAATCACTGGCAATTAGAGAGATGCAAATCAAAACCATAATGATATATCATCTTATCCCAATAGCATTGGAAAAGTTTATCAGGACAGCAAGTAATAAATGTTGGGAAGGATGTGGAGAAATGGGAACTCTTAACACTATTGGTAGGATTGTAAAATGGTACAAACATTCTGGAAAGCTGTCTGGCATTTCCTCAAAAAGCTGAACATAGACTTCAGCTCACTGCTCCACAGGAGAAAGATATGCTGTCTCTTCCTGTCAAGATGTGCAAACTCAGAAACCTGATGAAGGGTTGCTGAGAGTTGAAACAAGTTCCAGAGCAGCAGAGGTTTTCTGGTTTGGTATTTGTTTTGGAGGGCAGAAGTCCAACTGAGTCTGGCTAGATTAAAATCAAGCTGTCAGCAGGATTGATTCCTTCTGGAAACATGTTGTTAGGTGCCATCAAGT